GCGTGGCGGGGCAGAGACCGCTCCGCGGGGTGGCTGCGGGGGCTTCTGCGCGTGAGAGCCGCCTGCGGTCTTTTGTGCGGGAGCTTTTTGCCTGTTGCGGTGGAAACGACGCGGGAGTGTGCTGGCGTTGGTGGGGAAAATACGATTTTTACTGTTTTGGAATTTAATTTCGTCCTCACCATTTCTTCATCTCCACTGTGCATCCTTGAATCCTCTTTTCTGTTTCTGTAATCTCTTAGCTAAGGGTAAAGAGTTACCTTACCCTTCCGTGTGTGCTTGCTGCCTTCGTGAACCTGGTTTTGTTTGACGGGCACGTTTGAGAGTTTACTGTTGGCTATTTTCAGCGATGCAAGGAGTAAAGCCTTACTACAGGTGTTTGCTGCAGGGATAGCTTAGGTAGTAGTGAGGGTATGGTGCACTCATGCATTGAACATTACTGTGCACTTAGCTTGCAAAGAATGGAGAGAGTAGGGGAATAAGTGACACCCAGACTTTCTGTATAAAACAGCATGGTCTGTAGGTTGAAATCAGTGAGTGTTCCTCAGTAAGGAAACCCCAGCAAGTTGCTGTAAGCCGTAACGTCCTCGGGGCAGTTCACTTCTTTGTTTTGTGGATCTCATTGATGAGTACAGTATCCAAGCATTCAGTGGATGTTGAATTGAGTGAAATGAATAAAGATCTATAATAGCTAACCCTGTAAGGTGATTTAAAAAACTGTTCTTTAATCCTTAACCCAAGGATATATTTTTATTGATTTTAGAGAAAGGAGGGGGGGGAGGAGAGAAATATCGATGTGAGAGAAAAACCGATCAGTTGCCTCCAGTATGTGCCCCATCCCACCCGGGATCAAACTACATCTTAGGTATGTACCCTACTGGGGATCCAAACCGGAAATTTTTTTGTGTATGGGACCACGCTCCCACCAACTGAGCCACCTGGCCGGGGCTGTTAGGTGATTTTTAAGTGTATCATTGACAGAATTTAAGTAACCCAGCATGCAAACCAGGCGGGGAGAATGCCTGCTTCTGAGTATAATGTAACTCAAATGGTAACTGTATTCCAGACACTAGAATGGTACACTCCTTAGGGTAGTAAGGAGAGCTAATCAGGCCACTCCGTTTCTTGTGTTTAGACTTAAAAGGCAATATAAAAGTATAGGACTGGCAAATATAAATCTTCAGTCTGTGTGGAAAAACTGGGTGTTTTAATAAGCTGAATGTGAGCTATTGCATGTAGAGTGAGAGGTGATCATTCCACTTTAACTGATCAGAGTGAATTAGAGTTTGAGATACGGCAATCAGGTTAATAAAGTGACTTTAAACTATTCCTACAAAGAGCACTCAAAAGAACGAAGATTAGTCTGCTGAACAGAAGATTCAATGAGTCTTGTTAGCTGCTTTCAGAATTTCCCCCCAAGGTCTAGAACCAATGTGAAAAGCCACAGAGATTGGTTTTATCTCAACACTTCAGAACTTTTATTTATGGAAGTGTTTTTGAAACTAGAGCATGTTCACTGCAAAAACCCACAAACAGCACAAAAGTATAAATAATAATTGTCCTCCACTCTTCAAAGAAAACTATGGACAGTGTGACGTACAATCTTAGACCAGTGTTTTCACCACGGGTGTTACTGACATCTTGGGTGGGATAATTCTTTAGGCGGGGAAGGTGTTGTCCTATGCATTGTAAGTTTTGCATCTTCCTGGCTTCTTCCCACTAGATGTTAGCACCTTCCCAGTTGTGACAACCAAAAATGATTCTAAACATTTTCAAATGACCCCTGGAAGGCAAAATTGCCACTGGTTGAAAACCAGTGTTTCGTAACACTTCATGCACGTATACCCGACTTACATGATCAGACAATCAAACATGTGAATTCAGATATATAATGCAGTTATTTTCTGGTAATCAAGATGTCAAAGCCAGTCTTTTCACTCCCTGGTGGTTCCTTAGTGTTATGATTTTCCAACAACCTGAGTCTGTTGGTTGGCTCTCTCCGTCTCCATCCTTCCTTCAATTATGGCCTCTTCTCTCATTTGCTTCAGAATCTTGGGGGTG